CTAAGTCGTAGTATAGTTTCATAATCCTTGCGACTATATAATAATAGTCTATATTCCTCAATAATCCTAATGTCTACATTAAGATCTATCAAATAAGTAATAACCAGGAAGGGTCCGTTTGGTATACAAAGTATACTGTTTGGAATTCCCAAATTAAACACCTCACTAAATCCAACCTAGACATCACTCTCGTAAGTAGATCAATCAATATAATGATTTGGAATCACCGATAAATCTTAATTATAGGTTCATAATAACGAATACGACTATAAATAAAAGTTACACTTAAAAACAATAAGTGTAGCATAACTTATAGAGTAATCTAGTGAGAACCTTGAATTAAGCGGGCATCACTTTAATCTGAGAGCTTGTATTCTCTGACTATTTAACACTGCAGGGCCTCGCTAAAGTAACCGAGAACTAGGGAGTAAAAGGGCTAAAAAGGCTAGGAGATAATCTAGAGAGAAAAGGAGAAGATATGCGAGAATTATGCTAAAAATCACGTCTTTATATAACAGAAAAACCAGTGCGTGCAGCACCCCTTACCCCCTGCGTGCCATATACATGGTAGGCTATGCTGATGTGTCATCCAATTGCTAGTTTCATGTGTCGCTCAGTGTGTAGTTCGTCAGAGCGCTCAACGCCCCTGGTTCATGCTCGCGACCACCCTCAAATTTTTCTGTTTTCTTAAGAATTTCATAACTTCTTCATATGAGCTCGTTTTTCGACGGGTTTTATATCCATGCGTAGCTATCGACGAGATCTACAACTTTCATTTAGACTCCATCGACTTTTTTTGAATTTATTTTTAAAGCTATATTTTTAACAGGCTTAGACTAATAAAGTCCGTTAAAAATTCATAACTTTCTGATATGATATCCGTTGTCGAATGTCTTTTATATTCACAGATAGGTATTGACGAGGTCTTCATCTATCATTTAGATTGTTTTTCTTAACAATCGACCGATTTCAATTTTGGTTTTTGATTCGTATACTATTGCGCTGAAACTTCGAAAAATCATAACATCCTCTCACGAAGTCATATTTGGGCGTTCTTTATATGCACGAGTTCGCTTTTGCAAATACTATGACTTTTTGTAGATTATTTATCCAAATTAATCTTTTATTTTTAATTTATATTTTTGCCCTATTTACTATGTTTCGATGTAAGGTTTCTACACACATATCACATATTCCTAATATATATATATATATATATATATATATATATAATTCACATAAACACATGTATTTGAATAATTTACTTTTATTTCTTCTTACAAAATTACAACAGTTAACTGACAATGTTACAAATTTGATAACTAAGCCTAGCAAGAAATAGGAAATGCGGGTGTTACAATTCTCTTCCCCTTAGGATGATTCTGCCCCAGAATCATACATCATCAAATAGACGTGGACAACGACTCTTCATGTCGCTTTCTGTCTCCCAGGTGAAGTTTGGCCCTATAGAATGTTTCCATCGCACTAGCACTAACTCAATCATCTTGTGCCATAACTTTTTGATGTGGCAGTCAATGATTGCTTTAGGCTCTTCAATCAACCTTTTATCCTTATCAATCTGTAATCCTGAAAGTAGGATCATATCGGGTCACTACTACAAAAATACTCATAAATGACACGCATTGCGTGTCGTAAAACGCACAGATGACACGCAAATGCATGTCAAGGAAGGCCCTATCATAAAGAAAGATGACATGGTTTTACGTGTCGTAAATTTACGACGCGCATTCACGACTCACGTTTACGACACACAATGTGTGTCCAGGAAGGACCTGTCATAAAGAAAGACCACACACATTTGGATTTCGTAACCTTATGACGCGTATTTACGACTCGCATTGCGTATCATTAAAGCCCTTATCATAAATGAAGATGACACGCATTTGTGTGTCATAAACTTCAATAACCATTTACAATACACATTTACAATACACATTTACGACACACATTTACGAATAATAAGGAAACAATAATCACATTTAAACAATTCATTTCATACTATAAATGTATTAACATTTAAACTGAATCAGATTCAATAATCTCATTATACATAAATATAATGTAGGGATGTTATTCGGGCCGTAACCGAACCAAACCGACCCGAACGCGAATAACCCAAGAACCGAATAAGGGTAATTGTATGAACCGAAAACCGAACCAAATAAGCAATACGGGGTCAGTTCGGTTTGGGTTTTATTCGGTTTGGTTCGGTTCTGGACCGAATATCCCAAATAACATGAATAAGATGATTAAGGACCTATTATAACCGAAAAGAACCGGATAAACTGTATTATCATTGTATAACCCGAATAACCCAAATAACATTTACAATGTGATTATAAATATTGTATTTTGTATGACTTTTGTAGCTTATGATTTCATAACAAACATTTTAAAGAAAAAAATTTGTTATTTAAAAATAATACAAAATATATATAATTGTTTCAAAGGTGCAAAAAGAGTTAGAATTTGTGAACAAAGAATATAAACGTGGATAACACGGATTAGCTATTCTAAAATGTAAAATCCAAACACCAAAATCTTAAGATGTAGTTATCAAGCAAGATATTAAACACTAAACATTAAACACTCAAAACACCCAAAAATCTATATATAAGTATATAAGTTAAACATTAAACATTCCACACCCAAAACACCAAAATCGTTGATTTTTTTTCCAGGTTACGTTGGTAATGATAGAAGACAAGGACCGAATTAGCCATTGATCAAGGGGAATAAAAATTGTGACTTTTCAAATTCGGTTCGGTCTTTTTGGCCCGAATAAACCCTTATTAGGGTAACCCATACCGAATAACCCAAAAACCGAATAAGCCTCATCTAGATACCCGAAAACCGAATCAAATTGCTTATTTGGGCCTAATTCGGTTCGGTTCGGGTTTTTGGGCCAAATTCTCATCCCTAATATAATGTATACAAATAATCTCTCTAAATTTAACCTCAAAAAGTAGAATAAATAACTAAGGGAACATTACAAGGGATTAAGATACATGAATCAACTTGCACCAAATCAAGAAGAACCATAACATCATCCTCAAACATGGTCTGTGTGAAAACATGACTAGAATTGTCAACCATCATAAAAAACACAAATTATGAGAAAAAAATGACAAGAACACCTTATACTTACCAAGTGTTGTCTTGTGTATTGATGTTAAACCCCTTAATCACACATGAAACATAATGCTACCTGCATCCACCTGTTCTAGTATAAAGAATGGCAATGACTTGTAACTGGATCAAAACTAGCAAAACCAAAATGACATATATATATATATACCCTTAAAACATACATGAAACGTAAATAAAAATAAAAATAGATGGGTACATACCTGTGGTGGAGAAAAGTAAAGCACGGGATGCAACCGTCTTTTCCACACCTGATAATTGCTTAAAAATTGTTTTTCCTCATTTTCCTTGTTTACATATGCACTCTCACCTATCGGATGGAGGGAAAATTGGTCAATTAACATCCATCAATTAACGGTGTGAAAGTCAGACTAAAAGCATCACTAAATTGTGTTTTAGGCACTAAAAATTGAAATATTTGACCATATTTGTAAAAATAAATAAACATAAGGGACTAAAAATGCCAATTGGAAACCAGAGGGAAAAAGAGTAAATAAGCACGTTGAACTTGCATATAAGCAGAAGAAACAAAATCTTGAATAATGGAAACAGTTGTATAAGAAAGAAAGAAACAGCATATTCAAGTTAAAATAAGAAATAAAGTACAGAAAATGAATGATGCACTAAATAAGGACAAATATTATTTACACAAAAGGATTTCACAACTCACCCTTCAGCACCAAAAAAGAAATTAAAAATGGTATTTAAGACGTTTAATTAGAATAAAGTAGATTCAATTAAGGTGATCATCTGCCAAAAAGAAGTACGACTTGAGACACAAGACAGCGTTATGGGAATATCATAAAATCTTGAAGACCAAATTAGATGCTTTGAAGCTTTACAGCAATGACATGCATATGTCGATTAAGTTAATCATCATATGTTTAGTTTTTTCATTTCCAATAACACAACTGCTAAAGTTACAAAGCAAGAGTTAAAGCAGCACGTACGCTTGTTAATTTTGCAGAAATTTATGTCATTTCTCTAACTTCTTTATATATATCAGGCTTCTTGCAATCATCACAGTGAGATATGCAAAGATTAGTGAGATGAGAAAACAATTTGTTACAGCCATGGGAGATCTCTATGAAATCGCAGGTTGGGTTTTAGGTTAGAGGAAGAAACTATGAGTTTGCACTTTGTAGGCTTATCTACCTAAATTAAATTGTTGAAATCATCAACAGCCTGCAAGTGTGCAACTAACATGAGAAATTTGAGAGAAATGTTATATTTGAAAGTAGATAACAAGTAAGAAACCAAAACTTTCCTCATAACCCATTACAAAACAAATCAATTGAATGGTATTTTGGTCGTTTATCATAATTTATGTTCGTATTTCTTTGATAACTGAAATATAATGTAAATACAACTAAAAATTCATGAGATTGATCCTAATTCCTAAACACCAATCATGCCAACATGACTTAGATAAATTGACAAACTTTAAATGAGTCAATGACTCAAAATAACAAAACACTCTTCAACTTTCCACCCTTTTGAGTTGCAAATTCATTGCATCTTATGTCTCTAATTTCCACCAAAGCTTATTGGAGTTATCTTATCTAACAAGTGGGTTTTGTGAACATTTTCCTACATAATTCTTGACTTACTTAGTAAATCTACCACTTTCTTGATTTTAAGAAAATCAGCAAATAAGTTCTCAATATTGTGATATTGCTCTAAGCCAAATAAGCTAAATATTTAAGTTCTTTTGTACACGAATTTATCCAATAACTTGGATGTCTATGTTGATATTTTTAGTATACATCAAATGAATTTATAAAACCTGAGGCCAATGCAAAAAGAATATTGTTCATTTACTTTTGCTTGGATCAATCTATTTTAGAGAAGGAGAAAGGAATCTGAAGCTCAACATCGATGTGATCACCTCCTAGCTCCATTGCTAAACGCAGAGCATCCAATCGACTCTCTTCATCCCCATTGTATTGACCACGTTCCCATGTTGGTCTAGAAAATAACACAAAATCAGAAACCTATTGAGGTGGATAAACTGTAAGAAGATCATTTAATATGCACAACATTTATCAGGAAGCCAAAAGTAGATGCCGGTTGAATCCTTTTATGTTTTACATACAATTCAGGGGAGTAAAATGAAACTGAAATGGTAGCATTTGTATTCTAAGAGTGGCATATGTAGAAATAGCACCTATAAGTGAAAAGCGTTAGAAGAGGACTAAGATTGACTAGGGTTTGGATAGCCTCCCGAGCGTTAAACCCTTTCAAGCTATCCAATCGGATTTTAACGAGGTCAGCACCATAAGATTTCACCAAATTCATTTGAATCAACATCTGATCCACCGTATCCGCCATTATCGGTGCACAAATTACGGTTGAATTCCTCCTAATCCCTTCGTTTCTACCCATCTTCTCGATAGCAGGCGTTACCTGACAAAAAAATGTCAATGAAACTTAAATCCCTAAACTTGAATAAACAAAAGAATACATCGTGTCTTGGGAGAATGCAGTAGAATCAACTCATAATTAGTCAAGCCCAATTTCCAAATCCTCATTTAAATCATTCCCCTCGAAGCACTTTCAACATAGAAATGCATAAAGAGATAAAGATAGGTTGGATGAAGACAGAAGCGTTAGAGGCGCTGAAGGTGGGTGAAGACGAAGACCCTACGACTTCTTTCTTGCTAATTGGAAGAGGCGGGAGGTTTTAATTTTTCAGATAGAATAGGCGGGGATTTAATTTTTGGGGATTTCATTTCCCCCTTTAAAACGTGTGTTTCATTAAAAAAATATAAAGCGACACACTTACATGACACACATTTTATGATACGCCCTCCGTATTTTTTTTGACACTAATTTAAGGGCACGAACAAATGCGTGTCCTCTATCGTTCAAATTTTGCAAAACTGACATTATTTTTAAAAACGCAAAAAATGCGTATCGTAAATCGGTGCGTGTCATTGTTTTCATGTCATTAAAGGGTTGTTTTCTAGCAGTGGGTTCTCCTCCCTCGTACTTCCTTAAGTAAAAAACGTGGAAGGTATTATGAATACCTTCCCGTTCATGTGGTAAATCAAGCTTGTAAGCTTGTTTCCTATCTTCTGAAATACTTTAAATGGTCCAATGAAACGAGGACTCATTTTCCTACGTTTTCCAAATCGAATAATTCCCTTCGATGGAGATACTTTAAGTAGCACTCGATCGCCGACCTCAAACGTTACACGTCGTCGCTCTTATCTGCATAGATCTTCTGACGACTTTGAGCAGGTAGCATTCTTTCTCGGATGATTTTCACTTTATCATCGATCCATTGAACCATCTCAGTACCCGCAAATAGTTTATCTCCTGCTTCTAACTAACAAGATGGTGTACGACACTTTCTTCTGTATAATACTTCGTAAGGAGGCATCTTGATACTTGAGTGATAACTACTGTTGTGGGTGAATTCTGCCAATGGTAGGTGATCATACCAACTACCAGTGAACTCTAAAGCAGATGCCCGTAACATATCCTCCAATGGTTGTGTTGGGGCTATATTGTGTTGTGTCAATTTTGTATTGTATTATTATAGTCAATTAGTAACGGGTTGGGCTTATCCACCCGATTTATTTATTGTTCTAGGGTTAGGGTATTTATAGTGCATGCATGCACCGTGTTTTTTTAAGAATATTGTAACCCTACTCTTCCTTTACAATAGCATTTCTTTATCGAGCTCTTGTAAGGCAGGGCTTTTAATCATTCGGCACAACTTTGATCTTCATTCTTGGTGTTTGATTTCTCTACCGGTTTGAATATAATCGATCTTATAAGTTTTATTCCTATCAATTGGTATCAGAGCAGGATACTGTGTAATCTATACACATCTCTTCTGTTAAAGAGCTATTAGGGTTTCCGCTTTTATGGGATCTATTCTCTACCGTCTTCATCATTTTTTAACGACTGTTGATGTTGAATCTAGATCTTGATTCTACCCCAAACTCGATTTTAGTTTACACATCTGGTTCATTACAGGTTTTTATTGAATCAAAATCATGCATTCAGAAGATTCTCATTCTCTTTCATTCAACTTATCCCGCAGTATTTGTTCTACAACAAGGATCCCGATTCTTTTTCCACATGAATATGAGGTGTGGGCGCTACACTTCGAGGATTACGTTCAAGGACTTGAAGATCATGGTTACTTGATATGGGAAGCAATGACTGTTTAGACGTTTGAACATACTGGTACAAGAATAACAAACTTCTTCTCGAAGTTAAAGATTTCCCATAGGACGAAAAAGACAAGCTAATCAGCAATGTAAAGGCGATGAGGATAATCAGATTCGCTATGCCTCCAGACACCTTTCGTCTGGTGAGTTCCTGTGAGATAGTAAAAGACATTTGGGACAGTCTAAAAGAACTCTATTCTAGTGATGCTGATCTTGAGCATTCCATTCAGACACTGCTTTTCTCGGAGTTTAGAGCCTTTGTCGAGAAGCCTGTGGAGATTCTCGATCAACGTTCAACCGGTACAATCATCTTTTAAGCAGGATGGTGAAAAACAAGATTGGACGCAAACTGGTTGAACAAAAGGTGACATTTATGAACGATTTGAAGCCAGAATAGAAAGCTGTTGTGTCAATGGTTAAAGCGCATGTGCATTTTAAGTCCTACTCTTTAGCAAAGCTTGTGGGAATTCTTAGGTCTCACGAGGACGAAGTTACAAAAGAAGCGAAGATTGTTTCTACGATGGGTTCTTTGGCATTAGTCGCAAAGAACATGCAGGTTGTAGAAGAGGAAGGTTCGGAGACGGACCTCTCAGATTGTGAACTCTCAAAGGAGGAATATGCATTGATGGTGTCAAATCCTAGGAAGTTCGCCAAAAAGAACTTTGCACGCAACAAAAACCGAAACTGGCAAGGAAGTTACAGTTCTGAGAAAACAAAGGGTGAGAGTGACAACAACTTTCAAAAGGAAGAAGTAAAGAAAGATAAAAAGCTGGTGGGAGATTCTGGATATGACTGTAACTATTGTCATGGAAAGAATCATTTGGCAAAAGAGTGTATGTTGAAAAGGCTCAATGAGAAGAAGGATGAAGGAAATGAGAAAGACGAAGCCTACTATCTTCGGAAGATAGTGGAGCTCAAGAAAAGGAAGAATGTTGACAACGCTAAACCTGCATTGATTGTGCAGGAGAATGACGAGGAGTTTGGAAGAGTTGAAGTTTGTTCAACTGACTTGGAGGATGACGAGGTTCACAGACCAACACATGGCAAGTGCTTCGTTGCGAAAGTTGGTGCTTTGGAGTACAAGGGAAAATGCCTCATGGTAAACAATGATGTTTCGGAGAAAAGGGGAGATGCTTCTGACAGTTGCTTCGCTGCGAAATCTGTCACAGAGCAGATCAGCGAATGTGAGAAGATGATAAGCAAGGTAAGTTCTATTGTCGATTTTTTAAATATTCCTATCTCTAGGTATGAAAATTAGTTAAAAGACTTAAAATTCACAGTTTCTAGTTTAAGCGATAGTTTAAAGAGAACCCGTTTAAGTAATACTAACTTAACTGATCAAATCAGCAGGGTAACATAAAAAGCGAGGAAAGGCATATGTGGATTAAGAAGTTAGAGTCGAAGTTATCTTGGTCTAGGGATGATTTAATTTATTCGCAAAGAGACAGCTTAGGGCTTTTGAAACAACGAAATATTTTCTGTTTGATTACTAAACGTTTTTATTCTAATATCACTTAGCTGCATATCGATTGTGAAATTGGGAAGAAAATCCATAAAATGATTTTGCCCTTTCTAGTAATGAAAGAGGACGAAATCGATGCAGATTGTTTCAAATGCGAATCCATCGTATCATCTGACGAAGTCTCTGATGCTTATAAAATCGGACTAGAAAAAATTGAATCTTATATACAGTCCTAAGAGCATAAGAACATGCTAAAACAGATTTTGAGCGAAAAAGATAAAGAGCAAATTAATTCTGATACTTTACAGAAATTTGACTCTTTATGCACTAATTTGAGTTCAGATAATACACTTGACGTTGAAAATGTATCGGAATTTGATGATGATAGTGACATGAGTGAGATCTCTTTGGAGGATGAGGTTGATTGCTCGGAATTTGTTAAAAGTGAAGCTAAACCTACGAAAAATTTAATTTCTAAAAATGCGGTTGAGTACGTTCTCAGTTATGAAAATGGTTCAAAAATTCTAAAAGAAAAGACAATTGTTTTCCCAAAGGTTCAAACTGTTCCGAACCAGGTCTTTGCAACTTCAGAACTTAACAAAAATCAGACCAAAGAACTGTCGTCCCTTGTAGAAGAAGATAATGCTAAGGGGTGCGATTAATTTTTCTGGTCTGCCCCTATTGACAATGCAGGTGAAACCAAAGGTCTTTCAGAAATGACCTCTTGGAAGACGAAGGGAAGATACGTGGCAGAACCTTTAAACAAGGTCAATTCTTGCTATGAAATAGGAAGTCCGAGTGGAACCAAAAATGTTCCAAGTGATATGTCATCTGAAAAATCCGTAATCCCTGTTAGAAAGCCAAAACCTAGGGTTAATCTTCATAAGTCTGCTGAGCAATTCGCTACTTAGAAACATCAAAGAAATGATAGATATAATAAAAATCTAAAAGAAAGAAAGCATTTCTGGCAATCCAAAAATCCTAACTTTGTTCATCAAGAAAAATCAGTAAATTTGAGTGCGAATGCATCTTCAAATCTGAATCCTAAAAGTGTTTCAAAAACTTGGTCATCTTCTTCTCCGATTTCAAAATCAAAAGTTTCTCAAAAACCCCAGTTTTCAAAACAAGCAAAATCTTTTGAGAAAACAAAACCTAATGTTTCACAATCTGCCAAAATATCGAAAGATACAAAGGGCAAAGGAAAGATTGGTTCGGAGTCAAAAATTGATTCCAAAAGTCAGAGTCAAACATGAAAAGGGAAAAGATGGTTGAGAAAAGGATTTTCAAGCAACGAATTAAAGATAATAAAAGCAAAACGTCTTTTCAAAAGAATCCTAAAGATGAAAGGATCGTTGTTTTTAAAATCACAAAGAAAGATAATTCCACTCTGATTAAACGATCTTGCTTGGTTGATGAAGCAATAACATTTCCCGTGTCTGTGAAATCCTCACGTGGACCCAAAAAAATTTGGGTTCCTAAATATCTTTGATTTTTGTAGGTGATGCGTGACGAGCAGTTTGACTCCGAATGGTACATTGATAGTTGCTGCTCGCGTCACATGATAGGAAGGAAGGAAGAATTGAGAGATTTCAGACCACTGAAGGATGGAGGGAGAGTCATATACGGAAATAACTCTCTTGGGGAAATTAAAGGCTATGAAATGATTACGAATGGAGAATTCTCTATTCGAAAGGTAGCCTATGTGGAAGGCCTACCACACAACCTAATAAGTGTATCAC